GAAGATGAAGGCACGCCCCCTCTTAAGCCGGCCTTCACTGGGTTGTTCTACCCTTCATTGTATAAGTTACACCTATTCAAGGCCAAAGCAGCCGCCAAGGTCGGAAACAGAGCAGCAGAAGCACCACCTCAGCACCAGGGGTTTTCTGCAGAAACCATCTTTGATGAGCAGGCCATTGAGACTGACACGTTGCCAACTCCCAAGGCCTTTTTTGAGTCGGTCAAGCGCCAATGGGCTGCACCCACAGCGGGGCCCATGCCCACATCCACAGACAAGACTTTCTTCAATGTGGACAAGGACATGGCTGGGGTGCTATCTCAGCCCTCCACTGATGCTCCAGTATTGGTACTACATCCCCCCCCCCCCCCCTACTCTGCCAGGGGAACCAGAGGAGGCTCTGAAGTTAGAGGACAGGAAGGCGGACCTCACCCTCCAAAGAGGCATCAAGCAGTATCCTGAGCGGTGAAGTCAGCCACCACTGCCTCCTTCTTCAAAAGATCTTCCCTACTCTGGCTGCAGGAACTGAACCCCATCACAGCACACTCCACACAAAGTGCGGCCACCACTGCGGCCTGGGCAATGCAGGCCTCATTGACAGAAATATGTAGGGCAGCCACGTGGTTTTCCCCCTCACCCTTCGTGAGGAACTACAAATTAGATACCTTTGCCTCGGCGGAGGCATCATTTGGTCGCAGGGTATTACAGGAAGTGCATAGGGGGGGGGGGGGGGATGTAGTACCAATACTGGAGCATCAGTGGAGGGCTGAGATAGCACCCCAGCCATGTCCTTGTCCACATTGAAGAAAGTCTTGTCTGTGGATGTGGGCATGGGCCCCGCTGTGGGTGCAGCCCATTGGCGCTTGACCAACTCAAGAAAGGCCTTGAGAGTTGGCACTGTGTCAGTCTCAATGGCCTGCTCATCAAAGATGGTTTCTGCAGAAAACCCCTGGTGCTGAGGTGGTGCTTCTGCTGCTCTGTTTCCGAGCTTGGCGGCTGCTTTTGCCTTGAACAGGAGTGACTTATATAGTTAAGGCTGGAACAACCCGGTGAAGGCCGGCTTAGGAGGGGGCATGCCTTTGTCTTCAGATAGTTTATCCTCTCTAACTTCCCCCTCCTCGCAATCCAGGTCACTGTCCTCTTGTGATGAGGCTGAGGAACTAGAGCTATCTTCCCCCTGGGTTTCCAGCCACTCTGGTATCCTAGGAGAGGATGCCACCTGAGGTTGCATTTGTGGCTGCTGAAATGCCGCTGTCATGCATTGCTGGAAGGCCCGCATTATTAGGTCTTGAAAATTGCGGACCCCTGTGGGGGGTTGCTGTCTGGAACCCATGCCCACCTGTGTGTGTGGGAAAACCAAAGGTGGTAGCCCCGCGGGCAAGGCTGATCCCAGGGAAGTCGTATGTGGGGGGGGGAATGCCACCCCTGAGGAAGACCCCAAAGACCTGATATGTCAATAGGGATCCTTGCTTGCAATGTGAATGCCTCTCCTGTAGCCCCACCTGTTGCAGGGACTCCAGGGGCCTTTCCCTTCTGTCCCAGCCTGGAATGGACTTAAGGCCACTTGCCTTTTTGTAGAGCTGCCCCAGCTTCCTGTGCCTTCGCCTTTCATACTTAGATGGCTTGGAAGGTTTGTGAGGCTTGTGACCATCCTCTGCCTCCAGCTCTGCCCTGGGGGAAAGATGCTTCTTCTTATTTCTAGCCTTTGCTTCCCCCCCCTTCTGGGCAGCCTCTGGGGTGGTCACTAACCTTGGTTGATCCTCTGCCCCTCAGGTGGGGCTGCTAAGTGTTGCTGCAGGTACTTGAGTCCTGCCGGTCTCCTCATTGCCGCTAGGCGCTGGCATCTTGGAACACGTGGCTTCTTCCAGCTTCAAGTTGGCTCCTGTGCCAGGAGACAAAGGGCACCTCTTTTAAAACTTCTGGTTTGGCGGCTTGTGCTCTGAGGAGCTGCCGCATGCCTCTGCCTCTGGTTTCTCCATAGTGAGGGGGGAGGAGTATCCAGAATGGATTGACCTTATCCTCTCGTGATTGGATTGAGTCAGATAAGCTGTTTGGGCAACGCCTCCTGGCACCAGGTATTCCCCAGTTTTTCTGACTCATCTGATCATGAGAGGTTGCACATTCTGGATCTCCAGCAATTTACTAGGATTTAAAGAGAATTCATTTGGACCCGTCGAATCTTGCCTCCCTGCACCGCGCACAGCCTCCTCCTAGAGGATCGGGACTGCCACGAGCCCCCCTGGGGCGGCACGCTGCCCTGGCCACTGAGTGAATCTGAAGACACTCAGTGTGGACCTTGGCCGGGCAGCAGGAGGAGAGGGCACAAGCCTCCCCGAGGCAAGCCCAGCCGCGGAGGGATGTAAGCCACTGGAGCGCTCCCCTGCTCCCCTCAGGGGTTGAGCCACGAACCGCGGCTTGTTAAAATGCCCTGG